TTCTACTTTATTATCGCTTTCTGGCCCATGTGTGATAACGTCCTATGAGGGCCCTTAGTATCTGCTGGGGTTTAGTGTGGATACCAAAATCCATGGATGTTCAAGTCCCATTCAATGCAATGGTATAGTAAAACGGTGCCATTGTATAAAATGGCAAAATCAATGTTGACTTTTTAGAATGTATATATTTAAAAAATATTTTCAAGCCACAGTTGCTTGAACCCATGGATAAAATAAATTTATGGATATGGAAGGCTGACTGTATATGCCAAGGATTAACATTTAGAACCAAGGCTGGCTTAAGGTGTACTTTAGTATACACTTAAAATATACACCTAAAATTGTTGGAACTCTCGAATCATTCCAAAGCAAGCCCCTCTTTCTGCCCCATGGGTGAACCATTTTGGCAGAGATGGCATAGAAAGGAAATAAATATACAAAATATAATAATAATAATAATAATAATAATAATAATAATAATAATAATAATAATATTTATTTATATCCCACCCCTCTGCAGAGCAATCGGGGCGGCTTACAACATTAAAACATTAAAAAGAAACTAGGCATCACATCATTTATATCCCTGCAGACAGTGTGTGTCCAGGAACCGTGATTATACAGTGTGTATTTCCCACACATGCATTGGAAAGCACACCTTCAGGTATGTAGTGCAGCCTTGCCAGAGTGTAAACTGAAGGGGGCACCTGTACCCAGGAAGACCAGTTGTTGTTGTTGTTGTTGTTGTTGTTGTTGTTGTTGTTGTTGTTGTGTGCCTTCAAGTCATTTCCGACTTATGGGGACCCTAAAGTTTTCTTGGCAAGTTTCTTCAGAAGGGGTTTGCCATTGCCACCCTCCGAGGCTGAGACAGTGTGACTTGCCCAAGGTCACCCAGTGCTTTTCATGGCTGAGCTGGGATTCCAACCCTGGTCTTCAGAGTTGTAGTCCAATACTCAAACCACTAACCCACACCAGATGCCCTCTTTTTCCCGGATATGTCCTACATTTCAGCCTTCTGTCCAGGAAGAATTCCAAAATGTCTTTCATTTGAAGGATGACTGTGGATTTCTATTAATGTTTTATCATTTATTTGGTCATGTCTAGCATTTTTCTTGAATGGCCTCCTTTGCACTGCCTTGTCCTCCTTTGCACTGAGGACATCTGGCCACCCTGCCTCTACCAGGAAGAGTAACAGGCAACAGTGACTGAAATCCCCTTTTCTGCACCATCATCCCAGGTACAGCAGCCTCCTTCAGTTTTCACTCTGGCATCCCTTAAGTAGTGGCAACCTCAGAAGCACTATTTGTTGCTCTTGTGTGCCTCCAAGTCATTGTGGACTTGTGGTGACCCTAAAGCGAACTTGTCATGGGGTTTTCTTGGCATGTTTCCTGAGAGGAGGTTTGCCCTTGCCGTCCCTTGAGGCTGAGAAAATGTGACTTGCTCAAGGTCACCCAGTGTTTTTTTATGCTCGAGCCAGGATTCAAACCCTGGTCTCCAGAGTCCTAGTCCAATGCTCGAACCACTACATCACACTGGTTCTCATAATATTCTGAGAGTTTGAATCCCGGCTTGCTGTTGGGATAGGACGTTTGCCATGGCTCTGAGAAGTAATACACACACAGAGAGACATACCAGTATATATATATTATATCTCACCCAGTGGGTTTTTTATGCTCAAGCCAGCATTCAAACCCTGGTCTCCAGCGTCCTGGTATGTATATGTGTAAGTGTGGTGTAGTGGTTTGCGCAATGGACTAGGTGTTGGACTAAGACTCTGGAGACCAGGGTTTGAATCCTGCTCCAGCATAAAAAAAAAACCACTGGGTGATATATACACTTGTCTCTCCATATTTGTGGATTTGACTTTTGCGGATTTGATTATTCACTTATTCATGGATTTTATTAATATGTTCTCTCTAGGAATATCTAGGTCCTCCCACACAACTCTATGGTCAACTTTAACCAAATGTTGCACTGAAGGACCTAGAGATTCCTAGAGAGAACACTCCACTTGGCATTTGTAGCTCCTCCCGCACAATTCTATGGTCAATGTCTGGCATATGTTGACCATAGAGTTGCACTGGAGGACCTAGAGATTCCTAGAGGGGTGTTCTCTCAGGTAAAAAACATATAGTGCTTTTGTTTTTTGCGTTTTTTCCACATTCACGGGGGTCCTGTGACCCTAACCCTGGCGAATGTGGAGGGACGAGTGTGTATATACATATATACATATATATACAT